CACCCCACTACTCCCCCGTCGACGACAACACTAGCCACCATGGGCTTCTTCTCCGGCAAGAACAAGGGCAAGGCCCCCGCCGGCCCTTCGCGCGCCCCACCACCCTTCCCCCTCGCCTCCGCCGTCGTCTTCCCACCGGCCTCGGCAGCGGATTAGCGTCCCAGTGCACCAGGCGAAGTGGCACTGGGAGCACCGCATCCGCATCCCGTATCCCGATGTCATGCTGCCACATGACTGGCACTTGGATCTGGAGAGGATCCCGGTGTCAGCGGCACCGCCTTCAGTGTGGGTGCATGCGGAGGAGGTGTGGCATCGACGGCAGCAACTAACGCCGGAGCAGCGCCTCAACCTTGTCTATGCATCCGACTCTTCGAGTGGGAGGTCTGATTCATGTTTCAGCACAAGGAGCAGCGTCCGCGACGTGCGGGCTGGCTTCCTGCCGCCGCCCCTCGTTGTGCGCGACGAGGACCGGGAGGCGGAGGCCGCCTACCAAGCGGCGCTGGCGGCTGCCCTCCATAAAAACGAGGAGGACAAGCGGCGCAAGGCGGCGGAGGAGGGCGCGGCGTACCGGGCGCGCCTGTCGAAGGCCATGTCACTCTCCGGTGCCAGCGACTGCGTCATGCAGTCGCTGTCCCCCGTCAAGGCCGAGCCCGCACCGACGCCCATCAAGCCCGAGCGCGGCAAATGGGACGGATACGTGTGCGAGTGGGTCAACACGCCACCCATCTGGTTTGGGGCGACGCCGGCACAAGAGCGGATCTACCTGGAGCAATGGCGGCAGCGCAGGCGGGCGGAGGAGCGCCGCGAGGGCGAGCGGCTCGAGCAGTTGGATTGCGAAGCGGAGGAGGAGCGCCGCGAGACGGAGGAGGAGAGCCGTGCCCGTGGTGGGCCAGCCCAGCCGGCGGCGGCACAACCAATGGCGGAGGACGTCACCACAACCTGGGGGGACAGTGTTCCGCTGGGCTAGCCCAACACCGACACTTATCGACCTCACCGGCCCCGACGACGACGACAAGGGCTCCTTGGGCAACGCATCCCTACTAGTTTTTAGTTTTATTAAATGTTTCTACCTAATGTAAAAGTGGACTTGTAGACTCTCGTCGGCCTTTGTGGCCGACATTAATGTTTAATTAATATTTTTTATTTTTAAAATTTTTACGGTGTTTTTTTTGTGTGATCTTAAAAAAGTTGGTCAGGCTTGTGTTGGGTGCAAGCGCCGATCCAAATACAAAAACGAATTTGGATGTTCGCCGGGCCGAACCAAACGAACAAAAAACTCTTAAGAGTTTGAACGAAAGAAAGATTCGATCAACAACCCGTATCATCCAAACCAAACGACGAGGCGCCGAGTATGATCGCATTTATATGTGCATCCCTGCACCGCACGAGATTCTTCCGTGGACCCACCGTGTGTTTCTGCTCTTTCTCCGGACAGACGACGCAGCACTGATGGGCGATTGGGCGTCACCCTGCAAACTTGCTGCCACTGCGCACCCTGCAGACTGGGTGACGCGGGCAGGCTGACGTTTCGCGCGTGACGTTTCGCTGCCACGCGTGCGTATGACCGAGCCTGACCACACTCTGTTTCCCACGCGACCGCGACCGCGACCGCGGCGTCCCGCTCCCTCCAAACGACATGTCCCCCGAACCCCCGCTATATTTACCGGTCCTTTGGGGATGCCTAAGCATTCAAACGACCTGCGCTCGTGGTTGATTCTTCACGCATAGCAATCGCAGTCTCAGCCTCTCAGGCCAGGCTCACGGTGGTAGGAAGTTTGCAGGGCCGCGCCCGTGTGATTGCTGATCTGATCAATGGACACGGCGCGGCGCTCGCCGGTCTGCCTCGACCTCATGGTCGGCCTTCCCATGGTCCGCGAGCCGTCTCCGGCGAGGTGCGCCGGAATGAGAGCCGAAGCTCACATTTCTAGCTCGGCCTGTGGCAGAGCAGCTTCCACCACCATGACCAACGGCGAGGTATGCAACCGTTCAACCACACTCTGTTCTTTTTTTTTTTTTTTTTGCTTTATCGAAAAAATCTCTTGCATCTCGCTCGACGTGCTGGATTTGATCGTGCAAATGTGGGGGGTTTCCAGGCCAGGATCCTGGAGGCCAAGTTCACGGAGGTGAGCGAGGAGAACAGAAGGCTCACCGAGATGATCGGCTACCTGTACGCTAATAACCAGAATTTCGGGCGACAGAGCCCCGAAGGCGAGGGCGAGCAGCCCGCGAGTACTGCCGCGTCGCCGACATCGCCGGTGGGCAAGAAAAGGGGCAGGGAGAGCCCGGACACGTCGGATTCCGGCGATGCCAACAGCGACAAGAAGATAAACATGGTCGAGGCCGATCATGTCGACGTCGAGAGCCCGCTGAGCAACGGCACTTGCCGGAGAATCAAGGTTAAGAAGGTCTGCACCCGGATCGACCCATCGGACACGAGCCTTGTAAGTCCAAATCGATCAAAGCTAGCTAGAACCTCTCCACTGTTCGAAACAATCGTCGACTAATTGCAACTGTACTGATACTGAAACCTGTGGCATCTGTAGGTGGTGAAAGATGGGTATCAATGGCGGAAGTACGGGCAGAAGGTCACACGAGACAACCCGTCCCCCAGAGCCTACTTCCGATGCGCCTTCGCACCGTCCTGCCCTGTCAAGAAGAAGGTATCCTTCAAACTCCGCCCAATCCTACCATCTTGACCATGCACGGTCTGAAAACCTTATGTTCTGTCACTGATTTCTTGGTACGATCCATGGTGATGCAGGTGCAGAGAAGCGCGGAGGACAGCTCTGTGGTGGAGGCGACGTACGAGGGCGAACACAACCACCCGCGCCCCACGCGGGACGGCGAGCTGCCGAGCTGCGCAACGCAGGGCGGCGGCTCGGTGCCATGCTCCATCTCCATCAACTCCTCCGGCCCGACCATCACGCTGGACCTCACCAAGAACGGGGGAGGCGTGCAGGTCGTCGAGGCAGGGGAGGCGCAACCGGACCTGAAGAAGGTGTGCCGGGAGGTCGCGTCGCCGGAGTTCCGGGCGGCTCTGGTGGAGCAGATGGCCCGCGAGCTCACCGGCGACCGGAAGTTCACGGACGCGCTCGCCGCCGCGATCCTGCGGAAGCTGCCGGATTATTAGCATTCAGTAGAAGCTATCGAGATTCGAGACTGTGCATACAGTACTTCAGAAACAAACACCCGTGCGGTGTTCTAGTACAGCTTCAGAAAAGATGTTCTAGCACTTCTCTGCTGAGATTTAGGGCCTAGTTCTCCCCTAATTGTACTGCATAATTTGCAATTTTTCTTGCTATTTGATGATCTGAATCGTACCACAGGAAAATAATGTATCGTGAAAAGAAGGTATGGAGAAAATAAATTTGAAACGTGCCACAGTTTGAAATTTAATATTTATGTTATTACACATCCAAGTGACTCAAACAAACATAAAAAATAAAGAAATATCCTCATGAATCTCTCGGTAAGATCAATGATATATACTTCCTCCGTCCCCAAATGTAAAAAGTTTTTTGATATTATGATAGTGTCAAAAAGCTTTTTACATTTTAGGACGGAGGGAGTATAAAATAGTTAAAGGGGCTAAGGCTGGTTGTGTAAAACGTTTTTTGATAATATGATAGTGTCAAAAAGCTTTTTACATTTTAGGACGGAGGGAGTATAAAATAGTTAAAGGGGTTAAGGCTGGTTGTAATGGAGAGTATCATGTACTACTATCATGATACTCGTGTATGATTCTACATCTGTAATACCCAGTATCATATGTTGGTATCATAGATGACTATATTTATTATCATTTTTTTGATAAATGATATTTTTATTGGTTTAAAATATAGCATCAAGCGGATACAAAACATGATGACCATCGCCCTGCCTCTGCATAGTTAAGATGCGCACAGCCAAGCAAAAACAAATTGATAGAAGATTATTAAAAAAGGCGACATATCAGTAATAGTAGGATCATATAAGACCGATGGTATGCCTATGTCGAAAGAGTTGGTGCGCCAATCCGGAGATTATGCTGCCATCCATGCTGGGTGAAGACCTCCCTGACCACCCGCTCCAACCACGTACAAACCGCCTTGAATAGAGGTTGATACTCCGTTCGGTGTAGCGTAGACCACGTACAAAGCAAGTGCGTACAGCGGAAAAGAACCTACAAACGAGAGGTGTTTTTGCCCTCAAAAACCAAATCATTTCTACATAGCCAGAGTGCCCATAATAAGGCATATGCTCCTACCCGAATTAGCATTTTGAACCTATTTGAAATTCCGTCCAACCAATGATCAAAAATATTGACAACATCTATGGGCGGATACAAATTGGACGCTATTTGGATGACTGACCACGTAGAACACGCAAAATTGCATTGGAAAAAGAGGTGTTTGATTGTCTCGTGATGAGTACAAAAACTACACTTCTTACTTCCGTGCCAATTACAACAGGCGAGATTGTCTTTGGTTAGCACAACTCCCCTTTGAAGATACCACATAAAGATTTTAACTTTTAGTGAAATCTTTGACATCCAAATTTTCTTGTTATTATCCACTGGGACCTCTGAATGCGTGAGTGCATGGTACATAGAGTCAACTATGAAGGACCTAGATGCCGTGAGGTTCCAGTGAAACACATCCCATCCTTGTGTTAGGTTAATCAACTCCAATCGAGATAACAGATTTTGCCATGACATAAGATGGGGCCAATCAAATCCCGCCTGAAAGAAACATTCGGCGGGAATGAACTGAGCACCCGCTCTAGAGTATCATTCTTATTGCGAACAATGCGGTACAGAGCTGGATATTGTTCTCGGAGGCTAGCATTGCCTAGCCAGTTGTCCCCCCAGAAACGAATCTCCGACCCATATTTTATCACGAAGGATCCAAAACGAAAAAGGTGTTCCTTCGCCACCATTAGACCAGCCCAAAAGTGTGAGCCACCAGGTTTCTAATAGGCATGTGACACAGCTTTTTGGCCTAGATACTTATTGCGTACGAGGGTTTTCCAAACGCCATCCTCAGTAAGTAGTTTGAAAAACCATTTACTAAGTAAGGCAACATTCTTGACCTGAAAGTCATGAATGCCAAGTCCACATTGGTCTTACGTCCTACAAACCACGCTCCATTTGACTAGCCTGTATTTTTTCTTTTTACTATCTCCTTGCCAAAAGAATCTGGATCTGAAATAATCCAGCCTCTGCAAGACCCCTTTTGGGAGTTGGAAAAAAAGAGCATATAGAGAACCATATTTGTGAGGACCGAGTTGATTAAGATCACTCGTCCTCCAAATGAGAGCAACTTGCCTTTCCAACTACTCAACCATTTCTCTGAGCGCTCCTCTACATGTTTCCACTCCGCACTAGTGAGACGCTGATAATGAATCAGAATTCCCAAATATTTAATCGGGAATTGGCCTTGAACACAACCAAACAGGTCGGCATATTCAGCCGCTGCCTCACTGGCTTCTCCAAAGCAGAACAATTCACTTTTATGGAAGTTAATTTTAAGGCTTGGCATCTGCCCAAACGCTGAAAGCAATAATTTAATGTTTCGAGCCTTATTCAGGCCGTGTTCCATAAAAAGAAATGTATCATCGGCATATTGCAGAATAGAGAGGCCACCATCCACAAGGTGGGGCACTATTCCTGCAATTTGGCTGTCCTGCATGGCGCGATCAATCAGAATAGACAACATGTCAGCCACAATGTTAAATAACATTGGAGACATGGAGTCACCTTGTCGTAGTCCTTTTTTCGTCTGAAAGTAATGGCCTATGTCATCATTGACTTTGACAGCCACACTACCTCCAGTAACAAAATTTTGGACCCACTGGCGCCATTTACCGGAGAATCCTTTCATTCTCAGGGCCTGTTGAAGGAACGATCATTTGACCTTATCATAGGCCTTTTCGAAGTCAATCTTGAACACTACTGTAAGGAAACGTAGCAATAATTCAAAATTTTCCTACGTGTCACCAAGATCAATATATGGAGTCATCTAGCAATGAGGGAGGAGTGGATCTACATACCCTTGTAGATCGCGCGCGGAAGCGTTCAAGAGAACGGGGTTGATGGAGTCGTACTCGTCGTGATCCAAATCACCGATGATCCTAGCGCTGAACGGACGGCACCTCCGCGTTCAACACACGTACGGAGCAGCAACGTCTCCTCCTTCTTGATCCAGCAAGGGGGAAGGAGAGGTTGATGGAGATCCAGCAGCATGACGGCGTGGTGGTGGAAGTAGCAGGATTCCAACAGGGCTTCGCCAAGCGCTGCGGGAGGAGGAAGATGTGTCATGGGAGGGAGAGGGAGGCACCAGGGCTTAGGTTAGATTGCCCTTCCTTTCCCCCACTATATATAGGGCCAAGGGAGAGGGGGGGGGGGGCGCAGCCTTGGCCCTTCCTTCAAGGAAGGGTGCGGCCAAGGGAGGAGTCCCTCCTCCCCAAGGCACCTCGGAGGTGCCTTCCCCCTTTAGGACTCTTCCTCTCCCTTGATTCTTGGCGCATGGGCCTCTTGTGGCTGGTTCCCTTGGCCCATATAGGCCAAGGCGCACCCCCTACAGCCCATGTGGCCCCTCGGGGCAGGTGGCCCCACCCGGTGGACCCCCGGGACCCTTCCGGTGGTCCCGATACAATACCGGTGACCCCGAAACTTGTCCCGATGGCCGAAATAGCACTTCATATATATAATTCTTTACCTCCGGACCATTCCGGAACTCCTCGTGACGTCCGGGATCTCATCCGGGACTCCGAACAACTTTCGGGTTACCGCATACTAATATCGCTATAACCCTAGCGTCACCGAACCTTAAGTGTGTAGACCCTACGGGTTCGGGAACCATGCAGACATGACCGAGACGTTCTTCGGTCAATAACCAACAGCGGGATCTGGATACCCATGTTGGCTCCCACATGTTCCACGATGATCTCATCAGATGAACCATGATGTCAAGGACTTAATCAATCCCGTATACAATTCCCTTTGTCTAGCGGTACGATACTTGCCCGAGATTCGATCGTCGGTATCCCGATACCTTGTTCAATCTCGTTACCGGCAAGTCTCTTTACTCGTTTCGTAACACATCATCCCGTGATCAACTCCTTGATCACATTGTGCGCATTATGATGATGTCCTACCGAGTGGGCCCAGAGATACCTCTCCGTTTACACGGAGTGACAAATCCCAGTCTTGATTCATGCCAACCCAACAGACACTTTCGGAGATACCTGTAGTGTACCTTTATAGCCACCCAGTTACGTTGTGACGTTTGGCACACCCAAAGCACTCCTACGGTATCCGGGAGTTGCACAATCTCATGGTCTAAGGAAATGATACTTGACATTAGAAAAGCTTTAGCATACGAACTACATGATCTTGTGCTAGGCTTAGGATTGGGTCTTGTCCATCACATCATTCTCCTAATGATGTGATCCCGTTATCAACGACATCCAATGTCCATGGTCAGGAAACCGTAACCATCTATTGATCAACGAGCTAGTCAACTAGAGGCTTACTAGGGACATGGTGTTGTCTATGTATCCACACATGTATCTGAGTTTCCTATCAATACAATTCTAGCATGGATAATAAACGATTATCATGAACAAGGAAATATAATAATAACTAATTTATTATTGCCTCTAGGGCATATTTCCAACAGTCTCCCACTTGCACTAGAGTCAATAATCTAGTTCACATCGTCATGTGATTAACACTCACAGGTCACATCGCCATGTGACCAACATCCAAAGAGTTTACTAGTGTCACTAAACTAGTTCACATCATCATGTGATTAAGACTCAATGAGTTCTGGGTTTGATCATGTTTTGCTTGTGAGAGAGGTTTTAGTCAACGGGTCTGAATCTTTCAGATCCGTGTGTGCTTTACAAATCTCTTTGTCATCTCCTAGATGCAGCTACCACGTTCTATTTGGAGCTATTCCAAATAACTGTTCTACTATACGAATCCAGTTTACTACTTAGAATAATCTGGATTAGTGTCAAAGTTTGCATCGGCATAACCCTTTACGACGAACTCTTTTACCACCTCCATAATCGAGAAAATTCCTTAGTCCACTAGTTACTAAGGATAACTTTGACCGCTGTCCTGTGATCCATTCTTGGATCACT